TGAAGCCAGCCATAGCAAGTGCGAGCGAACAAATGCTAGCTAGCAAACAAGAGCGAGCGAAAAAAAAAACGGTTGGTTTCCTGTCGGAAAGCAGCGAGCGGTTGGAAATTAAGCGATAAGCGGTCGGAGAAAAAGCGATAAAAGCGGGAGGTTGGGCGGAATGAGTATTGTAGGAATTATAATTCAGCTAACCCATGTAACTTGTTTTTCATCACCATTGTAAATTCCCATTCAACCACTGATGTGGTCATATTTGCTGTAATGGGGTCATGTTCTGCGTAATAATGGTATTATTAAAAACTGTTAGCTGAAATAAATCTGAGAATCGCCTCGCCAGAATCAATCATCCTTAAGTATGAGTGTACGAGAAGTAAAAATTCTGGAAATAACCACCAGTTTAAAGCGCGGTAGTCGTTGTGCTGCGCATGTGCAAGATATATGGATTTCATATAAACAAAGATGATGACTTTGACTGTTGCGCAGATCAACGAGTACGTTTCCAAGCTGTAATTAGATAATTTTCATGTGATTGGACGGTATCTAAGGAGTCACCAGCGGTAATCAGTGCAAGTCGCGCCCAGGTCAAACCTCAAACCTCAAACATAATTTCCATTTGAATAGTGCATTGGATTGTGATTTCCATTTGAATAGTGCATTGGATTGTGATTTCCATTTGAATAGTGCATTGGATTGTGATTTCCATTTGAATAATGCATTGGATTGTGATTTCCATTTGAATAGTGCATTGGATTGTGATTGCCATTTGAATAGTGCATTGGATTGTGATTGCCATTTGAATAGTGCATTGGATTGTGATTTCCATTTGAATAGTGCATTGGATTGTGATTTCCATTTGAATAGTGCATTGGATTGTGATTTCCATTTGAATAGTGCATTATATTGTGATTTCCATTTGAATAGTGCATTGGATTGTGATTGCCATTTGAATAGTGCATTGGATTGTGATTTCCATTTGAATAGTGCATTGGATTGTGATTGCCATTTGAATAGTGCATTATATTGTGATTTCCATTTGAATAGTGCATTATATTGTGATTTCCATTTGAATAGTGCATTGGATTGTGATTTCCATTTGAATAGTGCATTGGATTGTGATTGCCATTTGAATAGTGCATTATATTGTGATTTCCATTTGAATAGTGCATTATATTGTGATTTCCATTTGAATAGTGCATTGGATTGTGGGAAAATCAATGTTTATCATCAAAAATGTGGAACATGCGCAGCGCGACGATTACCACGCTTTAATTTCACATTTGTTTTACTTTCAGATGCTTACATACCTAATGTTAGCCAGGTTATCATATCTATGTCCTAGCGCTATTTTGCAACGTAAGTACTTAAAACGTGTTTTTTTTTATTCTGATGTAGGGTATTACAGAAAAAATATAATCTCAATGCACTTTACATAAAAATAGTTATAAAAATACATTACTTAGAAAAATAAGACTACATCAAAAATCAGATAAAAACATATTGTACTGATGTACTATGGTAAGCTATATGGTGAAGATTAGTTTTTATGGGAGTTCTAGGAAGTGTGTTCCAGAGCTTTGGGTGCAACAACCGAAAATGCCCTTTTTTATAACAGGGTTCCAAATAACCTTATAGTGGACATGTGGAGTTATATGCTCATGTTTATGTAAAATGGTAATCGATCAAGGTGCTGACAATATTTTTCCTATTCATTTTAGCTTCTTGTGTAGGTGTTACATCTGTTTTATGTATATTCCATCCAGTTATTTCATTGCTGAGGTTTATCCATCTTTGTGTTTCTATTTACAGGTTTAGACAGATTGATTGAACCATTGAGAGCCACATGTACTACCAAAGTAAAAGCTAACTCTGTCAAGCAAGAGTTTGAAAAACAAGACGAATTGAAAAGGTCTGCAATGCGAGCTGTAGCAGCATTAATGGCTATACCAGATAGTGGTAAGTTGGCCATTCTTCCACCTGATTAGTTCTGGAGAGCATCCTAGGGTGTCATCAAGTCACTATGAGTTTTCAGCATCTTAGGGTGTCATCAAACAAC